CTAAAGTTTCGTCGGAACGAAGTTACGGAAAGTTAATTAACAAACGGAGACGTAACAATATGTTAGAAATAAATTGTGTGAAAGTTGGGATTTTTGTGTTATTTATCATAGCATCCACCCACACATTTTTTAAAAGTTCATAACCAGGACAAAGAACGAGATACTTCATATAGCTTCACAATATATGATCGAGAAGTCCATGTGCGCTATATAGAAATGACTAAATATGAGATTGAGCTTCCTGTGATAATGAGGAGGAGAGTGTCATAATATCACCAAGAGGGGAAATACTCATTCCAGGAGTTATTAGGAATAAATCTATATGTAGAGACTTGGGCATAGTATATCCTGAAGGATTGATGGTTGTAAAATAAAGTTGTCATACATGACTTTACTCAAAAAAAGACTTAAATCAGCTAACGATGAAATGAAAAGTTGTTAAAATTTTGATAATGATAAGACTGGTTTCCATCGAGGTGAGATGGATTGGTTGTAAAGGCTCCACTGCAAGAAAGGACAAATTACAAACTCATGTAGATGCTGGGAAGGACGAAATATTGCATTGAAAAGAATCAATGACGTGGTTTAAAAAGTCCAGAAGGACAAGCAGTTCAAGCCAGAAGTCATCCACCATGATAATGTTTGTAAGTATGTTGATGAAAAAAATGACCAACTGGGTAACTTCAGAAAAGAAATTGTCAACAGAAAATAAACCTATTGAGGAGCCTAGAATTCCTGATAAGATCAGTTTAAAAGGACCACCACAGTTAAAGTCACCTTTGGATTTACTTGACCACCTATCTAGGGAGAATTATTTCCCCAGTAATAGGACAGTAAATGATAATAAAGGACAAGAAACGACAGTACATTATGAATATGAATATCAATGAAGCAGTGGGTTAATGAGTTGAAAAAGAATGAGAGTTTACGAGGTATTTAGTAAGTGATTCATTTCAGTATTTGTAAAGAGAGTTTTGCATGCATTAAGCTAATCAATTCATTAACAAGGAAATTCTATAAGCATGTTTATTTGTAAGTTATTCATACCATTAGTCTTGTAATGTTTATTCATACATTGCGAACTTAGACCTACAGCTTATGTCAAAATGAATGTAGCCTGTAGGAAATGTTATAAAAGAAATAAATTCATTAGTTATTGTTACATGGACTGATCTTGGAATTATTTTCACCAGAGAATCCAAAAGAACTTG